AATTGCATAAAGCTACCACATTCGGCAAGACAAACGCAATGATCATCGTGATTATCTGTAAGAAATGTATTACACTATCAAAAACTATAGCAGATACAGATCTAATACAGATCTGTATGAATGAAATTTGCCAAATAACTTACTAGCCAGCAGGAAGACGGCTCATACTGTTTAGTTAACCTTTCACAAAGTCATCATAAAAACATTAATTAAAGCAGTGTTTCTCAACTAGCAATCTATTCAGTCAGCATATTTGTGTTTGATCTGTGTGAATTACAGAAATATAAGACTTGCTAGACCTACTTTTTTTTTCTATATTTCTTTGCACAAAACTCTCCAGAAAGTCCCATTTAATGGTTTATTTTTCAAAAAATGATATTTTTTTTTCTGTTCTCTTTTAAAGATCAGATGGGGGGCCCCATACTACCTTCGCCTTGGGCCCCCAATTAGCTAAATCCGCCACTGACAATGGTCCTATCATGAGAGATGTCACTTAGAGCAGTTTTAAGTTTTTTAAAAAAATGAACACGTTCTGACCCAATATTGGGTGCATATACATTGACAAAAGAACAATTATTACCCTGAACAGTTACATCAACTCTCAGTAAACGACCAGAAATGAGTTCAGACACTAACAGGTTGCTCTTTATATTCAGGTGTCAGCAGTATAGCCACCCCTGCACTGACACTAGAGCCATGACTCAAAATAGCCTGACCCTTCCATTCACTCTGCCACTGTATCTGATTGTTCTCATCTGTGTGCGTTTCCTGCAGAAACACCACACTAGCGCTTTTCATCATTATATAATCAAAAAGACTAGCCCTTTTCATAGCATCATGACACCCATTAACATTCAATGAACTAATCCTCAAAGGTGCCATAAAAATAAATAAGAGAAAAACACACAATACAACCAATCGACAAGAGTTTTCAGGTACCCAAAATATATTCATTTTTTATCTTGTAAGTTCAAGGAACTTCTAACATTGCTAAGAAGCTTCTTAAAGGGATAGTTCGGCCAAAAATGATATTTAAACCATGCATTACTCACTCTCAAGCCGTTCGAGATGCATATGTCAATCTTGTTTCAGACGAACACATTTTCAGTTATTTTAGAAAATGTCTTAGACCTTTCAGTGGATATAATGTGAAGCAATGGGGTCCACCTCCTTCAAGTCCCAAAATGTGCATATATCCGTCACAGAAGTAATCCATCCGGCTCCAGGGGGATAAACGAAGGCCTTATGAGGGTAATCCGTGCGGTTTTGTCGTAAAAATATACATATTTAAAACTTTATAAATGAAAATATCTGACTTCCGGCAACGATCGACGCGCGTCCACGGGTGATGGAAGTCGGCATACGAGGTAGGACGTAGCGTCGTGACGTAGAACGAACGCGCCCGCGCAGCCAGAGAGCTATGCAGAGAGCAGAGCAAAACATCACCCGTGAACGCGCGTCGATCGTTGCCGGAAGTCAGATATTTTCATTTATAAAGTTTTAAATATGTATATTTTTACGACAAAACCGCACGGATTACCCTCATAAGGCCTTCGTTTATCCCCCTGGAGCCGGATGGATTACTTCTGTGACGGATATATGCACATTTTGGGACTTAAAGGAGGTGGACCCCATTGCTTCACATTATATCCACTGAAGGGTCTAAGACATTTTCTAAAATAACTGAAAATGTGTTCGTCTGAAACAAGATTGACATATGCATCTCGAACGGCTTGAGGGTGAGTAATGCATGGTTTAAATATCATTTTTGGCCGAACTATCCCTTTAAGACGGTACCGTTTGGGTTTGTCGAGCTCTTCCAAGGAAGCTTTTCTCATCGCCAAGGTACCAGACAACAAAAACAATTTTGCGTCTGGAAAATAAAACTCAATTTTCGGTTTACGGTGTCCTTTCGTTGCATCCAAAAAGTGATTAATCTGTTGAAGAGAGTAAAATTTTGTCTTACCTCCAGAGACGAACTCTGAATCCTCCGCGTCGTTTCCCATTATCTCTGTATAGTCATGTTCGTTGTCAGAGTCATCCATTAAATCCACAGATTCTTGAGATAAAGAATCATCTTTACTCGATTTTAATGAATCATCAGTAACGTTAATTGTATCGTTCTCAATTCCAATAGGCTTCGTTTGTTTTCCTTCAAAATTCAAATCATTTTCAGACATTGCCAAACACACCTGTCCAGGGCTCGTTTCTGCGTGCTTTACAGCGGGAACATGACTCGGGCCGGTCTCCTCCTCAACAGGCTCCACCAGGCCATCTCCAGAGGCCTCCAGCACCGGTCTCCCCTCGGGCAAGTCACCGGGCGCAGAGAGCGCTCCGTCCGGCTGCGGTTCTGACGCCACAGCGGTCGCAGCAACATCCGCGCCGGCCGCCCTCTCACTGTTCTCCGCACCTGCAGCCGGAGCTGGCCTGTCTCGCCTCGGACAAGTTTGTCTGACATGTCCAAACTCACCACAAACAAAGCATTTCATCGATTCTGAACTAATAAAAACAGTGTAGTCTTTGCCATCGATGCTTAATTTTGCTGACAGATTTAATGGATCACTATGAGAGTTTAAAATCATTAAAACCTGACGCCGGAAAGACATCACATGTCTAATCTCGGGGTTTTTACATCCAAGAGGGATCATTTTAATAGTGCTCACTAGTTTACCATACCTCTGAAGTATTTGTTCTAATTTTTCGTTTTTAACAAACGGCGGTATGTTTGACAAAATAACTTTCTTGGCCGGGCTTGACAAAGGCAAAACAGGCACAAAAATGTTATTTATTACCAAACCAGTTTCAACCAATTCATCCACCATTTTGCTTTCACTGAGGAAGAACACAATGGCTTTATTCATACGGGAGGCAGATTTGATATTTGCACCACCGATCGCCGCACTCAGGCATGCATTCAACCATGTTTGATGGTTAACCGTGAGAGATCCCCCGTTTCCGACCCCATGATCCCCACTCTCTGACCGAAGTCAGGGGAAAGCTATACTAAACCTATTTTCTGTAAAGTGAAAAAGAAAAAAAAGAAAAAAAAAGGTAAAGAAATCTCACTCAACCAGAGAGACACTTTCACTCCCGACAACAGGCTCCTTCCACACTCACTCCGCACATGCACACAGAGAGAGAGAGAGAGAGAGAGAGAGAGAGAGAGAGAGAGAGAGAGAGAGAGAGAGAGAGAGAGAGAGAGAGAGAGAGAGAGAGAGAGAGAGAGAGAGAGAGAGAGAGAGAGAGAGAGAGAGAGAGAGAGAGAGAGAGAGAGAGAGAGAGAGAGAGAGAGAGAGAGAGATAAGAGCCCTTTAGAGAATATGAGTCTTCTAGTATTCACTACCCACAAGAAAATAAATGTCCTACCTTTTTCTTTTTAAATGTATTCATCCATCTAATTTACTGTGGGATATATAGCAAATTTCTCAACATGTAAATGAGCATAAAAAGATTTAAAAAAAACTGAGAATCTGACAAACAGAAATGGAGTAACGAGTCCCTTAACAAGGGGGGTTATATCAAACTGTCTCAGGAATTGTGGACATTGCAGTTCATTGCTCTGTTCACATCTGCAGTCCTCAAGCCCCCTGCAGCAGGTTTATCATTTTACAAAATGATATTTAAAATATAGTATGAAAAAATGATATCTCTAGTTTATAAGTGTATATAAATATATAAATGTAGTACTCAGCATAAATGAGTAAACACGTCTGAACAAAGATAGTTCCCTTTTTCTAATGATCACTATTACAATTCATGAAAAGATGACAACCCTAATCTCCAACTGTAATCAAACACACTTGAAGCAGCTGATAAAGCTCGTCAGCATCGCTTGAAGACGCACATGAAGGTGTGCTGAAGCAGGATGGAAATAAACTTTGTAAGACAGTGGGGTTGAAGACCTCGGTTTTAAAGTCCTGATCAAATATGCAGTCTTTGTGCTTCTCAAACATTTTTATTAGAAATAATAGATTTGATATACAATCACAAATGGCATTATATTATTTATTTCTAATTAACCTGAATGAGTGATCTTTCTTCACACAACAATTTGAAAGCTGTGTGATTAGCTTGTCTTCACAGTTATCTATAGGTAATACATGGAATACATAAGCAGATTTGTTAATGAATATGGTGTGTGTATATATATATATATATATAATCTGCGTGCATTTACAGTACACAGATATATATACACACATATATATATATGTATGTGTGTGTGTGTGTACTGTAAATGCACACAGAATTTACATACAAATCCAGATATTTGCAGTTAGTGAAGGAGAACCATTGTTTACCAAATATTACAAACCTATACAGTAGATTTGTCATTCAATGAAAATAAATGATTAGAATATAAAAAGAAATACATAGCTTCTACAACTTTACAGTTAAGTTGTCAATACGAATGTGAAAATATCCAAAAATATTAGAAGGAAATAACTGTTGCCTTCTTGTGAATCAGGATAAAAGCCATTAATTTCCATTAATAAATGTTAAAAGCACCTTTGAGCTATAGTGCATAATGGCCAATTAAACCCCGAACAGACATTGGAATAGACCTGAGACTGATAAAATATCAAAATACAGTACGATCGATTAAAATTGCTTATTAGGTATTGCAGTGCAACTTGTAATACATAAATTTAACACTGCACAGCAATTTAAATTTTAAAGGAGAGAACACAAAATACTGAATTACAAACCTAAAAATAACCTAAATAACTAAATAGCTTAATGCATCACTCCAAACAGGATTCATCTGTTATTGGGATGAAAACAAAAATCCAATGAGTGAAAAAAGCACAGATGCACAACATGCAATGCCTCTGCCATGATGCTGAGATATTGTCAAAGGTTCTAGCTTTCAAATATAATAGCTTTCACGTTCAGTGGTCATTTAGCACTAATGATGAAAGATAATATTTCTCTCTAGAAAAGACATCTAATGAAAATCCACATGGATGGGCTTCGAAATGACTGGAAATAGACATCAATCCATATTTCTATCCTCCTTTCTGACACTTATGTTTACACACAGTAAAGAACATGTGAATGTCAGAGATTAGGTCAAAAGAGATGGAGAGAGGCTTGTACACATTGCTGTTTTTTTCCCAAAGGTATGTCATGCCGTTCTCCAGGACAGGAGAGCTGCAGTGATCCAGGGACACGTTAAGCCAAGGGTCCTCGACGACATTGACAACTTTCAACACAATGTGCCGCTTATGTGGGCCAAGTGCCACACTCTCCACTTTACCAAAGAACACTAGAAACACACACACAAACAAACAAGATCATTTAGTCAAATTCCCCCAAAATGTATTGTTTTTCAGGTCGCACCCCAATATATTGTTAAAGAACATCACCTGTTTTATTGCATATGTCAGGAATCAGCTCCATCAGTGGTTTAAGTCCGTCTTCTGCATGAGAGCTATTAGGGCTTGGTGTTGGTTTGAGATGTTGAGCACAGCAGCTCCACAGGGACGTGTTGTAGTAGTAATGCCCACAGCAATGGTGATTTGGTTTGGTGTCATAAAGAATGGCATTGGTTGAGGAAGAACAGCAAGTTTGATTGGTTTTATTCACCAAGAGGTTTCCACAGCACTCTGCTTTCACGTTGTATTGGGTAAGGTTGTAGAGATGACCCGAGCAGCACTTCATAAACTTTTTGTGGTGGTCATAGACATTTGAACCACAACATAAATTACCATTCGTCTTGTTGTGGCTGAATAGAAAAAAGTTGGAAAGAAAAGTCATTCAATAGGCAGCACAGATACAAAATGCCTAGGGTGGCAATTTACATGAGCCCCAGAAAAATACTTCCCTCGCAAAACTTTACTGATGAAAAAAATTATTGTATTCTGGCATGAGAAACATTTTCCTTCACAGCTTTCTGTGATTGTGTTGCGTGTCTGTATTCATTATTGCAGTTATCTGCAATGAACTCTAATACCTGATTCTTGCTAATTTTGGGGTGTTGACTCCAAAATATTTGTTCTAACATGCCACTTTCGAGACATTCCTCGACTTTAGTTTATTAGTCTATGAAAGTCAACTGAACTGTTTTCTCAGCGTTGTAATTGTGTTTTGTGGCAGCATTGGGATGTTCACCAATAGAATACAGCTGCAAACCTATTTAAAACTTTTTTTTCTGCCACAAAGAATAATTATGGGCAGTGAAATGAAAACCCTCTGGTCTGCTAAAAACTATAGAAAATTATAGGTTTTGTGAAAAAGCTTATTTATAAACTTGTTTGTGTTTAAGTGAAGTTCTTAGAGAATTTGAACATATTTTCTACTCCTTTGCAAATGTATGTTAAATGATACATTTGGACTACTTGACTGCTTTTGTTATTTACATAAATGTTATTTACATGCTTTTGTAAAAAAAAAAAAGAATGCTTTTGTCTTTTTAGCAAATCAGCAGATTTTCTTTTAAGGTTCAATTCTTTTTTCATTAATTTTATATTTAATTCATGTAATATTTCATTCTTGATTAAATGATAGTAAGTAAATAATTTAATTCAGTATTTATTTAACTGATTTACAGTAAGAACATTACGGTTATATTGTTATTTGAGGTTGGTAGTGGTTTTAAAACGTGTTGTTGGTTTATGGGGTGGCCTAAATGACTAAGAGACACCTGGTCTCGAGCTGTGCCATTAATTATTTTTTGGCATTTGCCTCTACGTGCGTTAGTTAGACTTACATTTCCAGTTCGAGACAAAGACTCATTTGTCAAGATTTATCCTAAAGCTATTAGATTTTCAGAGAATCACACTGGTACTGCTATTTGTTTTTTTGACTTATTTGAGCAGGACTATACATAGAAAAAACAGTGAGTAACTTTTTACATTGTATAAAGTGCTTTACCCCTGAAGAAAAGACGAGGGGCCTGATGTATAAACGAAATATGCGTACGCATTTTTCCATGCACATATCAGAATTTATAAAAAATAAACTTGGCGTAAATAAGTGTGCACCGTAAGGATGCTCTTGACCGTGCGTACGCACATTCTGGAGACAAAGGGAATTTGGCGACACCGATGGTGAGTTGGAGTTAAATGTCTTTTTGGTCACTTTTAGACAGAAAATCTAAAGAAAATGATACATATACAGAAAGATAATACAAATATAATTTCACTCACCAAGCCTATCACTTGAAGCAAATATCCATTCCTTCTTAAATGTCCGCGCAGCGAGCGCGTTGGGCCGTTTAGTGAAACTGACGCATATCTATAGCCTATCTAACGGCAAATGAAGGAAAACCGTAAATAATGCACAAGGTCTATCTGTTTCCATTAAAAATATAATCAATTAAAAATACTATTTGGCCAGTGAGATTGAGAAACTTTCTCTGAAATATATTTTACACATTTGTATTTATTTATTCAAAAACAAGGCAAGGATAGGCTTATGATTTTTATTCATGTAATGTGACGGCACATCCGTATTTCATATTTTCCTAATGTCTTGTACCGTTAAACATGTTATCACGTGGATGAATAATCATATACAAATGATATGCAGATAAGGATATGCATAGTAAAACTAGGCGTTGTAAGCTCCATATATGGTTATTTCGGGGAGGAGACGCGTGTGCGCACAATCTTCCGCTGACTGAGATTTATCGGGATTTATAAAGTGAATTCTGCGCAGGTTCTGGCGTACGCACGGTTTTATAAATCTGAATATTTTTTTGCATACGCCATTTTTGGCTTTCGGGCGCACGTACACTTTTAGTAAGGATCCTACGCACAGTTTTATAAATGAGGCCCCAGTACTTTAGACAAATATGTCATTCTACATAAGGTTGCCCCCTCATGGTGGACGTGTAGTTGAAATCAAGGGTCAAGGTTTGGCTGTTAAGCAAGATAATTTAACAGTAACAGTATTGCAGATGGCCCTTGAGAATGTAAATTGCATGACCAGCCAAATGCTACTTACATTTGGTTTTAAAATTAAAGTATTTACAACTCGAGCAAAGAATACATTGTGCACTTTTAAATCCAATCAAACCTTTGTACTCCATACCTGTGTCCATTACAGCAAATGTGTGTTACAGGACTGAAGGTTTCTCCTCCACAACAGTGCTCGCCAAGACGGGGCCGGGCAGACAGGTTGCAGTTAGAGTTGTCTGGAGAATATACAACGCCTCCGACACACTCGGATTTCTTAGAAACGTTGATATGAAGGGTTCCATTACAGCACAGCACATGGTCATCGAACAGAGTGTAAATATCTGTCCCACAGCACTGAAGAACACAGGCAAACAGTATATTAATGTATGCAGGGTTTGTGTGTTCACAGAAATCCCCAATTTTATTTGAATGGGATGTTCTATAATGCTTAGTCTAATAGTCTAGATGGGATGTACCCAAAAAGTGAAAGTGAGGAGCATTTGTGGGTACAAGTCGGGAACCGGCCTACTTTACATATTTCAAGGGTGCTGAATCCAAAAAAACTGGTACCCAAGCGAAATTTTGAGTTTTTGACCTTCTAATTTGCATATCAAAATGGCCGCCAAATTGCCTATCTTGCTCAGTCGTTGGACCATTTTCCACTAGTTTTTTTGTAAGTAGGCAATCAAGATGAGGAAATTAAGTTTCTAGATCGATAGTCAAGGGTCAGAGCAAAGATATAATGGAGGATCACTGTCTTTTTTATGTACAGTATATATGCAAAATACCAACTTTTAAGGTGAAATTAGGCATTATTTGTGTCATTTTTTAAGGCCGACATAAATATTCAATCAATATCACTCTTAAATGTTCCCAGTGTATATATGATATGTGATGTATTCCATATTACATAATAACTAAGAAAAACACCATTGCAAGTTGTCTGAGATTTAATTTTTTTTTATGCAAACAAAGCATTCCCTAGACTGTACATTTCCTGAAGAAAATGTGAAGTGGTGCTTGCAGTGGCAAAATTGCATACGAGCCAACAAACATGTCTGTACGATGTTCTGGTGCTGAGATATGGCTTATTCATGTTGTTCAGGTGGTTGCTAGGCAGTTGCTAGGGTGTTCTGGGTGGTTGCTATGGTGTTTCTAGGCGGTTTCTAGGGTATTCTGGGTGGTTGCTAGGGCGTTACTAGGCAGTTGCTAGGGTATTCTGGGTGGTTGCTAGGGCGTTACTAGGCAGTTGCTAGGGTGTTCTAGGTGGTTGCTATGGTGTTGATAGGCAGTTGCTAGGGTATTCTGGGTGGTTGCTAGGGTATTCTGGGTGGTTGCTAGCATGTTGCTAGGGTGTTCTGGGTGGTTGATATGGTGTTCCCAGGGTGTTCTGGGTGGTTGCTAAGGTGTTGCTAGGCGGTTGCTAAGGTATTCTGGGTGGTTGCTAGGGTGTTATGGGTGGTTGCTAGGGTGTTATGGGTGGTTGCTATGGTGTTACCAGGTGGTTGGTAGTTGTCACAGATGGTTACTATGGAGTTTTTATAGAGTTCTTAGCATGTTCTAGGCATGATTTAGCACTTACCTAATCACTAATAGCATGTAGCTATTCACAGCTAGCATGTGTAGCATGTTGGAAGTCCTCTTTGCTAGCATGAGTCAAAAGAGCCAACCCCCATTTCTCTATGATGTTCTGATGCAGAGATATACACTCACCTAAAGGATTATTAGGAACACCTGTTCAATTGACCTCTCGCCGGCCCCTCCCCCAAAACGGCCATTGTCCAATCACACATCATAGCAACCGTTACTATGTGAGCAGGTCCGTCAAACATTGACTCCAAGCAAGATGGTGAAGCGGTGTGCCTACGGCGTTTGTAAATCGGACACTAGGTACTCCGAGAGATTGTCTGGAGGAGTTGTGTTCTTTCCGTTTCCAAAGCCGACAATGGATAAAACAGTGTGGACGGCCCCACTCCCAGTTAAATGTGTCGAACATGGTTAACTCGCGTGCAGCGTGTGTGAGACTGAGACACTGAGATTAGTCAAAGAAACATGGAGAAAGCAGATCAAGAGGATCCACGAAGGAATTACGTTTTCTAAAGGGTTGTTGTTAACATGATATTTTCGGGGGGAAATGAGCAGCAGTCAACTAGCAGTGCAGCACCTGTAGACTACAGTTTAGAGGAGAGCAAGTTCGCAACGGGGAAAGCATGAAGCTTGCTTGACAACATCAGTTCATATATCAATATCGTAACAAATAGAAATAACCTTAAATAATGTATGGTTATCTGCATCTTTCCGTCTCTTATGTATAACGTTAGTTACTTTTTAAACACAAAAATCACATTCAGCATGACACGCAAGTGGTTGTTGTGGTAATGAACAACCTGCTTGTTAAAGCGAATGTATAATCCTGTATCTGAGGCAAAATTACTAAGTTAAATATGCAGCGCAAGTTATATATTTCTAACTCCAAACAATTGGCCACTGAACCAGCTTATAAAATCTTCTTCAAGGCCGTGCTGGTTGCATTTGAGGTACAGGTCGTTACAGTAAGCATTATAGCCTTTTTTTTTTTTTTATATTTTGAATATATCCCTTCACTGCATACTGTAACCCCTTTTGCCTCGATCTGGAGGATATCGCGGAGGTATTGCTCCAAAAAAGGTCACTGACACGCACGGGTATACCTCTTCTCGTCATGGCAATCTGTCGCGCTGGTCGTGTTTGACCATTTGTTTGTCGGACGTAGCAACAGTAACTAAGGGGGGCGGGGCTCGGCGAAAGGCTAATTTCTCATTAATGCAATTATCTAATCAACCAATCACATGGCAGTTGCTTCAATGCATTTAGGGGTGTGGTCCTGGTCAAGACAATCTCCTGAACTCCAAACTGAATGTCAGAATGGGAAAGAAAGGTGATTTAAGCAATTTTGAGCGTGGCATGGTTGTTGGTGCCAGACGGGCCGGTCTGAGTATTTCACAATCTGCTCAGTTACTGGGATTTTCACGCACAACCATTTCTAGGGTTTACAAAGAATGGTGTGAAAAGGGAAAAACATCCAGTATGCGGCAGTCCTGTGGGCGAAAATGCCTTGTTGATGCTAGAGGTCAGAGGAGAATGGGCCGACTGATTCAAGCTGATAGAAGAGCAACTTTGACTGAAATAACCACTCGTTACAACCGAGGTATGCAGCAAAGCATTTGTGAAGCCACAACACGCACAACCTTGAGGCGGATGGGCTACAACAGCAGAAGACCCCACCGGGTACCACTCATCTCCACTACAAATAGGAAAAAGAGGCTACAATTTGCAAGAGCTCACCAAAATTGGACAGTTGAAGACTGGAAAAATGTTGCCTGGTCTGATGAGTCTCGATTTCTGTTGAGACATTCAGATGGTAGAGTCAGAATTTGGCGTAAACAGAATGAGAACATGGATCCATCATGCCTTGTTACCACTGTGCAGGCTGGTGGTGGTGGTGTAATGGTGTGGGGGATGTTTTCTTGGCACACTTTAGGCCCCTTAGTGCCAATTGGGCATCGTTTAAATGCCACGGCCTACCAGAGCATTGTTTCTGACCATGTCCATCCCTTTATGGCCACCATGTACCCATCCTCTGATGGCTACTTCCAGCAGGATAATGCACCATGTCACAAAGCTCGAACCATTTCAAATGGGTTTCTTGAACATGACAATGAGTTCACTGTACTAAAATGGCCCCCACCACATCTCAACCCAATAGAGCATCTTTGGGATGTGGTGGAACGGGAGCTTCGTGTCCTGGATGTGCATCCCACAAGTCTCCATCAACTGCAAGATGCTATTCTATCAATATGGGCCAACATTTCTAAAGAATGCTTTAAGCACCTTGTTGAATCAATGCCACGTAGAATTAAGGCAGTTCTGAAGGCGAAAGGGGGTCAAACACAGTATTAGTATGGTGTTCCTAATAATCCTTTAGGTGAGTGTAGGTCTTTCAAAATGGTTGCTAGGGTACTCTGTTTGGTTGCTAGGGAGTGGATAATCATGAAATGCCAAAGGCTGCATTTCAGTGTGAATTATATAAACCAACCCCTATCTCTATATGATGTTCTGATGCAGAGATATAGGTCTTGCAAAATGGTTGCTAGGGTACTCTGTTTGGTTGCTAGGGAGTGGCTTGTAAGCTGCCAATGATGAATCTCCAAAGGCTGCTTGTCAGTGTGAATGATATAAACCAACCCCCAACTCTATACGATGTTCTGATGCAGAGATATAGGTCTTGCAAAATGGTTGCTAGGGTACTCTGTTTGGTTGCTAGGGAGTGGCTAATCATGAAACACCAAAGGCTGCTTGTCAGTATGAATGATATAACCCAACCCCTATCTCTATATGATGTTCTGATGCAGAGATATAGGTCTTGCAAAATGGTTGCTATGGTACTCTGTTTGGTTGCTAGGGAGTGGCTTAACAGCTGCCAATCATGAAACTCCAAAGGCTGCTTGTCAGTGTGAATGATATAAACCAACCCCCATCTCTATACGATGTTCTGATGCAGAGATATAGGTTTTGCAAAATGGTTGCTAGGGTACTCTGTCTGGTTGCTAGAGAGTGGCCAATCATGAGTTGCCTCCATTATATCTTTGCTCTGACCCTTGACTATCGATCTAGAAACTTAATTTCCTCATCTTGATTGCCTACTTACAAAAAAACTAGGGGAAAATGGTCCAACGACTGAGCAAGATAGGCAATTTGGCGGCCATTTTGATATGCAAATTAGAAGGTAAAAAACTCAAAATTTCGCTTGGGTACCATTTTTTTGGGACTCAGCACCCTTGAAATATGTAAAGTAGGCCGGTTCCCGACTTGTACCCATAAATGCTCCTCACTTCTTATAGAAGGCCATTTTTCTGAAATCCGTCTAGTCTATAAGTGTTAAAAGGCAATACTACCTTATTAACTACTGATGCTCTATACCGACTCCCTGAGCAACACATTTCTTCCTTGGGATTGTAGGTTTCTGATCCACACTTCAATTCTAGAAGAGAAAGGAATTAGTGAGAGCATGGAATCAATTGCTACAAAAATCCTAAAAGTCACCAAAATTACCAGTGATGTCGAGAAAGATTTATTATATAAGTTAATGCCTGAAAAAATCAGCTTAGGCAACTATCAAAAGTTACTGAAATGCAACAGTCTCTCAATCACTGTCTGATGGAGAGAGGGAGATTTGTAAAAAACATTAGTAGACAATGAGGATGCCAAGAGCTTTACCTGGTCCGGCGGGACTGCTCGTAGAGTAACACAAACACACACACAAACACATAGTGGTGTTAAGTATTTGAGAAAATGTTATTAGTTATTGTACTTAAGTATATTTTTGGCTACTTAGTATATATTTCTTAAACATTTTTGTCAAGTAGAGATTAAAAGTTGCTTTGTATCTTTGAAACAGTCAAACTACTAAGTATATATACTAATTTTTCATGGCATTAAACTTTTCTGCAGCAGTTTATTTCTGCTACAATAGAAGCAATGTTGCCATCAACAGGGCATTGAAGGTACCATGTCTTGTGCGTTTTGCCCTTACTCGCCCAAACAAGGCTACTTAACACGAATGCAGGTGAATCAGCTGGTAGTTGCTGAATTGCAGATGTTTCATAAATTAGATGAGGACATGACTGCAGTCAAGCACGTCCTGCGCAAGTAGGCTTTGACTATTTCATTTCACTTAACATTATTGTATTTATCCGTTATATTGAAGAGACCTTTCTGAAGGAAATTAGTTTATCTTTTGAGCACTTAACTGAGACTTGAGTGTTTGTAGACGTTCGTAGGCTGTTGATCTTGATTTATTGCAATATTGAGGTGTTTTATTTCAACTTTAGAAAATAAACAAGTGCATGCTCTCCTCACAAATCCACTGTCTTGGCATGTCTCTTAAATGTCAAAGACTTGTGCATCTTTGAGCCAATGTTAAATATGAGTGAAATACTTAAGTACTGATAAAATCAGATATTCTAAGGCCTGATTTTACAGACAGGGTTTAGATTTTGTGCATTTTATTATTTACGTGGTTTTATTATTTATTATTAATATCTATTATGCATTTTCCCAGTGGTACGGGATTATTAGAAAGGATTTTTAAAAATCATTTTTATAGAAACTGCACTCACAAAGAGTAAAGCTTATAATTCACTATTTAAAAAAAGATTGATATTTTCAGGTTTTCCATGGTTGTGGGAAACCTGAGCATAACAATTTTTGCTAATTAATTTAAACTTTGGGTTGCTTTAATCATTCGTTTAATTACAGAAGAAGGACACTGTTCAGAATGAGAAGTGCTGAAGTATTCTGATATTTTTGTATTCAAGAGAAGCTTTTACTTTGTTGTCTCTTGTGTGGCACAGAAGCGCTTCTGAAGTGGTATTTAGGTGTTTTTACTCAGACTGTTTAATGCTGCTCAGATGTGGCATAAATGCATTTACAACATAAGTTTCAATAATATACTTTTATACTAGGGACTAAGGAATAATTTAGTCATGCTGTTAAGTAGCATTATGTCTTTACACAGAATTTTGAGCAGACACAGAGCAAAATTAAATCAGCTGTGTAAAGATGCCATGTAAAGAGAGGATTTTTGATCAGGACTGTATGACTCACCTGGTCAGAGCAGAGCTTTCTGAAGGATCTGTGAGAATAAGATTCAGAAAATAAGTCGTCGTTAGGTACAGGGCTGTAAATGAGTGTAAGAAGTTAAAGTCATTATAAACGAAGTGATTACAGAACATCCTTGATCTAATGGTATGAAGATCCAACAATCTTGATAAAATCTTAACCATGTCAAACTAAACAGTGCAAAGTGTTCAAGTCGCATCAAGTCTACCTTTGGTGCTGTGGCATGTCATGTGAGCACTGGTTCGAGTGAAAACGCTGCCATTACAGCAAATCTCATTGAGGGGATTGTAAGCTTCAGATTTACAGCAGTCAGCCACCAGCTGGCTTAATCCCCGAGTTAGGGTACCTGCAACACATTAAAGTACAGAAAAAAAAAAAAAACATCCTACAGTGTTCAGTCTTTGCAATTTCCTTGATAAGCATTACATGCATCACATATATCATATACAGGGGTTGGACACTGAAACACTGGCCAATATAGGCTGCGTCTGAAAAATGAACATTTCTGTCTTCGGAGGACACATTCAAAAGGTAGGAAGGCATCAAGGCACATCCAAATCCAAAGTTAGCTGCACTTCCTGAGGAAAAGCTTGTATTACAAGTTAAACCACAAAAGACATCGGCGCCTGATGGATTAAAGGGCAAGGTACTGAGGGAATTGTGTCAGCTTTCACAGCGGTCTCTTTTGTAATATTGTACCTCAGGCCAGGCCTGGATGGAACTTTCCAATATCATTACCATTATCCCATTACCAAAAAAAGCCACATGCTAAAGAGCTTGAGGACTATAGACCAGTGGCTTTAACATCTGTGCTCTGTAAGTGTGGAGAGAGTCGTTTGTCAGCAATTTCTACAGACACTGACTGTTAAACTTGATCCTTTGCCATTTGCATAGAGTTGGGCGCAGAGTCGAAGACGCCAGTCTCACTCTGCTGGACGAGGTGGCAAAACATGGATGCGGCAGACTCCTGTGATTGGATTTTATTTATGGACTTCTCTTCTGCCTTTAATATGGTGAATATAAACACACTTCTGAGGCGCTTGGAGGAATTGCATGTGCATAAAAATTTGGTTTTTATGGATTAATAGTTTCCTATGGACCGTCCACAACATGTGCTGGTTAATGGCAGAAAGTCAGAGAATGTGGTTTTAAATACTGGTCTCCCACTGGGATGTGTTTTATCTCCAATTCTTTTTTCAAATGAGATGACGTGTAATAGGGATAATTTGATGCTTATACAATACGCAGACGACATGGTATTGGTGGGATGTGTGAAGGATTCTCAATCATTGGACGATTATTTTAATTTTGTTATTTTTTTATACAACCTGGGTGGAGGAGAGATCTTTGCAGGACTCTGTTGTAAATTTGGCTAATAAAATAATTGGGGATAAACTAGGATCGCTTACAGATCTTTACACAGTGGGAGTAAAAAAGGAAAGCCTCAGTTATTGTGACGGATTCTTCCCATCTCCTCTATAGTGCATTTCAGTTACTTCCTTATAGCAGATGGTGTAAAGTACCTTTGGTAAAAAATACCACGTATAAAAAGACTTTTATTCCAACTGCTATTGGTATTTTAAATGGGATCTTAAGATAAATATTGTTTTTCTTAAGAACTGTGTAAGTCTTAATGTTGTAGGTTTTAAAACTGATGTTATGTGTTGTTGTTGTTTTTTGTATTGTACTCTTTGTTGAACCCTGTGGTGATAGACAAAGTTTTTTTAATTGAATTGAATCTTCACTGATTGGACATTGATTCCATCACTAAGAGCTGAGTGTGAAGGTTGAATTAGCAGAGCGACAACACAGATGTACATAAAATATTGCAATTAACAGTTGGTGCTTATTTCGCTGGCTCATCTGGGACCAGGACAGCAAGTCTTTGTGGTGTATGGAGAGCCACGTTATCTAGGGTAAAGTCGGCATAATTAATTATTTACATTTATATAGTGCTTTTCTAGGTACTCAAAGCGCTTTTACATATGTAAGGGGGAATCTCCTCAACTATCACCAATGTGCAGCTCCACCTGGATGATGCGACGGCAGCCATAGTGCGCCAGAACGCCCACCACACACACACACCAGCTTACTGGTGGAGAGGAGACAGAGTGATGAAGCCAATCGTAACATGGGGAGGATTAGGAGGCCATGATGGACAGAGGGCAAGGGGCAAATTTGGCCAGGATGCCTTTTTCTGAAGGACATCCTGGGATTTTTAATGACCACAGAGAGTCAGGACCTCAGTTTAATCTCTCATCCGAAGGACGGTGCTCTTTGACAGTATAGTGTCCTGATCACTAAACTGTCGACCCACACAGACCACAGGGTGAGCACCCCCTAACGCCCTCACTTACACCTCTTCCAGCAGCAACCTGGTTTTCCCAGGAGGTCTCCCATCCAGGTACTGACCAGGCTCAACCCTGCTTATAGCTTCAGTGGGCAACCAGTCTTGGGCTACATGGTGATATATGGCTGCTGGCATACTTCCATGACGGACGAACACACATCCAACAGGAGTAACTGTTGACGCAAGAGGAAGCTGTCTGACAGGAATGTCCACGTACAAACCCGGATTGCATCCAAAAAAACAATACCACAGCCGCCCAACTCAATGCAGAATTAAACTTGTTTGTCAGGAGATTCACAGGGTCAGTAATCATGGTCAGGCTGCTAGAGCCAAACCTTTGGTCACTCGTGCCTATGCAAAATGTTTCATTAGATCCATCCAACAGTACAAATCTTGGGCTGTGGACAATGTGAAACATGTTCTGTTCCCTGATGAGTCCACCATCACTGTTTTTCCCACATCCGGGAGAGTTACGGTGTGGAGAATCCTTAAAGAAGCTGAACTGTTGCTGAGTGATATCATGCCATTCCCTACAGTTCTTGATGGGCGTTACTGCCAAGAACTACTGAACCATTTTGGAGGACCGTGCATCAGGATGATAATGCACCAATACACAGCAAGACTGGTGACAGAATGGTTTGATGAACGTGAAGTTGAACATCTCCCATGGCCTGCACAGTCACCAGATCTCAATATTATTGAGCCACTTTGGAGTGTTTTGGAGAAGCAAGTCAGAAAGCATTTTCCAAGAGGAATGGCTCAAAATCCTTCCGACCGCTGTGAAGGACTTGTATCTGTCATTCCCAAGACGAATGGATAAAGAGAGTTTTGGGAGAATTTACCATAAAACTTCAAATAATAGACCGGGCTTTTATTTTCCCAAATCGCCAAACTGCACTGGCTTGTATATGAGGCAGGCCTTTAATTTAGTGTTGAGATGTTGTTCATTGAGTGTAAGCCTAGAGATAACGATCCAAATAGCATAGGCTGATAGATGGAAAGCATGACAGTAGGAGGTTACCACATTATATTACGTTTTATTTATAATTCGAATGTGTTTAACAATTCAGTTAATGTAAGAATTAGCCTAATATATTATCGTATGTCTTAGATTATTGGCAGCAAAACGAAACAATGTGACAGGCATGGGCTGAACAATGCAAGAAGTTACCGGTAATATCCATCGAGCCTATGAACTTGTTGCCCGAAACACATCAACAAAAAAGAATGAAGGTTACCCTGTAAATCAACTGCAGTCATGTGATACAAAATGACCCTATTCATCACTATAATCATCCCCGCGATCCTCAACTACAAAGTGCCTTGCTTGCACTAAAAGCTCCCGCCCAGATCCGCAGGGCTCTCCCTCTTTGAAACAATGGATAAGGTGATCCTCGCTTCCATCAGAAGCTACTGTCAGGCCACATACCTAAGGACAACATCCCGAAGTTGATGAAATATATTATCTCTCCTCTCTCTCTCACACACACACACACACACACACACACACACGTGCACGCGCTGCGCACAAGCAGACCTTAAAGGAATTTTTCAGCCGCTCCGTATCCAGCTTTTCCCACGCTTGAAGTACCCAGACAACCAACAAGTGGTGAGTTGTGTTGCCAGCATACCGGTAATACAAACAAGTAGCCTACCATATACTTGTCATGACATGATAAAATATTTTGTCTAGCACATACATTTTAAACAAAATATAATTAATTAAACAATGCAGGGCCTAGTTAATAAAAAAAAAAGTTTAAACAATTTGGAACTCTAATTATTAATTAGGCCCAATGGCATCTAATCAGAACTTTAACGTGCGCAATCTGCACCATATAACTGGCTTTAAAACAGACGATCTGAGGGTTTTAGAAGATTAAATACAACCCAAAACTAAAAAAACAGACCAGGCCTCTATTTAAGACCTGCCTTTATTTATTCAAAACTGTAGCCACACCCGGTGTGTAAAAGAGACAGGTGTCTATTTTTATTATTTTTTTTTACGATATAACTATAACTTATTTTGGTCTAAAGCCAGGTGTTTCAGTTTCATTGTCCAACCTTGAACCATATTTCATTGCTTCCTAAACTATTAGTAAATGACATCTTCCTGCAGTGACTCAGCAGCCATAAATTGAGAGTTGCAGGAGTCTTTCCTACCATTACAGCAGGAATTTCCTGAGCTGATGTAGGACAGATTTCCACATTGCAGCTGTTGGCTGCTTTCCATCGGCCCACTGGAACCCGTGTTGCTGCTGACATTATAAACAACACTAAACAATCTTATTTTATCTTTGCCAAAACATTCTGTTAATTTACACATAAATGTAAAATAAATAGATAATAATAAAAAAAAAATCTCTCTGAAACTATGTTCAGATATGTTTCAGATCAAAATTATTCTTAAGGGTCTGTGTAAGGTCACTTACTGGCTTCCAGTGTCAGGTTTTCCTGAGGAACAAAGAGATTATTCATTATAAAAAGTGGTAACTGAAGTAATGGAGTAAAAAGTGGTAACTGGAGTAATTTTGAATATGAAATGTACTACTTAGTGCAAGTTCCTGGTCTTTTTGTGAACAAATGAACAGTGCAAACTATTAGTAATCTTGAATCAAAATGAAGTAACTTGATATGTCTCTTTTTTTGCTTATGTCATCATAATGGAATGAAAAAGGGAATGAGAAGGGAGATCCCTCTATTCTGTTATGTAACACACACTTTTCAGAATACCGGACAGAAATATTTAAACCTCTCCCTACACTTTTAGTGACAAAAAAAGCATTGTTAACAGCATTTCATGATTTTAAAATGAAATTAAAATGAAAATTCTGTCACAATTTATGACTCATGTTGTTCCAAACCCGAGTTCTTCCGAGATTATTTTTTTTTTCATCTGTTTTTCATTCATACATAGTCAGAGAGGTAAACAACTGACTTTCCTTGACAGTGTAGCCATTGACTTCCATAGTAGGAAAATAAATACTATGAAAGTCAATGGCTACCATCAATTGTATGGTTACCAACATTCTTCAAAATATCTTCTTTTGTGCTCAACAGAAGAAAGAAACTTATACAGGTTTGGAACAACTTGAAGGCGTGTAAATGATGATAAAATCAATACTTAAAGTAAATATATAATATTTCTTTCTGAAAACAGAGAATGAGACTATCTATGCTCAGCATTCAACAAAGCATACATACATGTCAAAACTGAAAGCAAAACAACGGAATTCATGACAAAATCTAATCCAAATGTTTGGCGCAGGTCAGTGGAACGAGAACGAGAGAAAAAACACCGCACTGCCGAGAGGCGCGTTTTTTTAAAGTTAAACTTCGAGTTTAGAACGCCGTGTCGCGCTGCAAAAGACGCTAAAACACGTGTTTTTCAAATATAAACAACAACACAGTGGCGCAGTGGAATAAGAAACCGCGTTCTGTGTAAATGGTCCCAAAACATGCCAAGACTAATCAACTACACTTCCACAAAAATACAGTCCCTGACGCCCAGTCAACCCGTGTCGGTAAGTTTGTAACAGTTCCTTACCTTTCCTTGTTCACTGGCTGTCTGTTTTTGCTAAACTCCCAGATACGCAGCTTTCTCAACGCCATCTCTATGCTACTTTGAGCGCGCTCCACCGGCAGTAGTGATGGGCGGATCGATCCTAAAGTATCGATACTTCGATACTGACGTGGTATCGAAAAGGATCGATCCTCACATAAAAATATCGATCCAAATGTGTATTTTTTTTACCAGTAATTTTTTATTAATTTTGCACGCAATTCAGTGCGAAAAATAAGCGAATGTTAGCGGGTAATTGTGTAGGATAGAACCTTTTCTTCTAGTCATCTGTATAGGCTACAAGACGAAACCAATCAATCACAAAGAGCGTTCGATGCTGGTGCTTCGCTGAGCTCAGAGGCCCAGTGCGTTTGGGAAACGAAGCCTTGCTTAGATGACAGAGAAACAATCGGGAGTTATTTCGCAATAAACAAACCAAAACTGTACATAACGATTTAAAATGTTGACGTCAGTAAGATCTTTTTTATGAAATTAATATTTTTATTAAACAAGGATCGATGCATTAAATTGATCAAAAGTGACAGTCAAGGGTTTTACACTGTTAAAAAAAATCTACTTCATATAAATGCTGTTCTTTCAACTTTGTTCATCAAATAATTCTGCATAAAATGTTTCATAGTTTCCGACAAAATATGAAACGGTTTTCAACATTGATAATAATAAGAAATGTTTCCTGAGCAGCAAATCAGCATATTAAAATGAATTATCATCATGACTGGAGTAATGATGCCCAAAATTCAGCCTTGATCACATGAATAAATTACAGTTTACTATGGCATAGAAAACAGATAGCCTATGTTAAATTGTTAAATTGTAATATTACAGTTTTTACTAAGAGAAATAAAAATCTTACAGACCCCAAACTTTTGAACAGTAGGCTAGTACTAGTAGGCTAGTACTATAATTAGGGTAGTTTTGTAAAAGTCACTGACTAATTAAAGGGGAGTTGAGAGCACAAATCACAAAATAGGACTAGTAGTTATGCAAACGTGTTCAGATTTAGCATATTAATGATGCATTCACCTCATAAATCATGACACACTGCTCTAGCACAGGAAAGTGCATACAAGTTCAAATGCATGCTTTTAAAATGAAAAAGTATCGGTATCGGTATCGATATCGGCGATACTGCCCCTGTTTTTACTTGGTATCGGATCGATACAGAAATTTGCAGTATCGCCCATCACTAACCGGCAGCAACTCCATGACTCGACTAAACTACTGGAAAACTGTGTAGTAGCCTATTGCTCATACAGCGCTTCAAAACGTCCCCGCCTCCATCAAAAAACAAAGCAAAACAAAAAAACACTGACACACTAAATTGTAGCTTATCAGTCTCTACAGTCTTGGTTGCACATCCTTAGGCACTGCTTTATATAAACCACTAATATTAGAATAACTCAGTTATTAATTTGAACAAATGACTCATATAAATGACAATTATCTGACACTAAAAAAAAAAACACAACCTAATAGTAGCCTAAATACAAGCATGTCTAAAGTTTAATTTTAGTTTGGCCTACTTACCGTGTGCAGAGAATGTGGCAATAATGCACATGATTATCACACCTGCAATAAAAAAATTATTTTAAAATAATATTTATTTAAAACAAATCTATAAGGCAACTCAAAACTTAAAAAATGTGCTGTCTTACATCCAGTGGATGTGTAGACCTCCATGTTCAATCCCTGTTCAATAAAGCTTGAATATCCAAACATGATGCGATGAGGATTTATTCACTCTATAAATAAAACTTTAGCCCCGCCTTTCAGGGTGCATCATTAAAACAAGGAAGGACTGCAGATTGTGATACCCAAGAGCACACAACGGAAGTTACAAGTATGGACATAATACAGTTGTAGACCAATTCATATTTCATTTGGCTGACGTTTGGCACATCATTGCACGGGAGTTTGATTAGTGAACTGAACAGTTGCTGAGATAATGATCTCTGAAGAGTTCCTACTAGTGCTAGTTGTTTTGGATAAGTTGGTTGTACTGGCATGCTTTGGGCATTGTTTGGTATCTTATTACATATAATAAGCCAGTGGTTCAGCCCTGTTTTGGGGATTTTCATTCAGCAGGAGTGAGCAGTGAGTGATCTTTTTTACTGGAAAAAAAAATTCTCCACTTGTACAAAGTATGGACACAAAGATGTGTGCACATAAGATATAGACATAATAGTCATAATGGCAACAGGGGGGTAAATATCTCCTAAACTGTTTAATAGACCAAAATAGTTTTGTTAGCATGTCTAGAGCTTATGTGTGGAATGTTTAGTAAAGGTTTGAAAAAGGCCTAGGAGTTTTAAAAATATATATATATTTTCGAATGGTGAAAAAATTTGTTAGATAATCATAAAAAATAGATTTACCATTGTCCACGCTTTTAAGCAAGGATGCAGAATACATTATTTTGATTCTGCTGAGTTATTAGCTTAAATGTGAAGTTGCTTATTATAGTGCCACCTTGTGGCTGATTTTGACAAAAAAAAAAAAAACAGAAATCGCATATTTCCCTACTAATAGCCTAGTAGGTGAAAAACAGTATGTGACAAGAGTAGTATGTCTGAGGACATTAGAGGATATCGACGTCCATCAGAGAAGATGCATACCAATTTTCAACTTCAGGGATCGTTCGGTTGCAGAGTTATAAAGGTTTTTTATTTTTTTAGCGCCCCCTATTGGAGGAATTTTTAGGAAAATTCTAAATTGCAGACATTTTATAGGTAGACATTAAATCGGAGATATACATTTTTTATATACAAGTTTTCTGGTATATACAAGTATTTTGTTTGTAGCACTTAGGGTTCGAAAGTTATGATCCAAAATGCAAATTGGACGATTATAGCGCCACCTAGCGTTAGACGTGTTTACCGCAATGTTGCAGCACAGCACCTGGCTATATTGACTCATTGACAATGGGGGTTAAAGGGATACTCCACTTTTTTTGGAAATAGGCTCATTTTACAACTCCCCCAGAGTTAAACTGTTGAGTTTTACCGTTTTTGAATCCATTCAGCCGATCTCCGGTTCTGGCGGTACAACTTTTAGCATAGCTTAGCATACATCATTGAAGTGGACAAGACCATTAGCATTTCTCAAAAAAAAATGATCAAAGAGTTTCGATATTTTTCCTATTTAAAACTTGACTCTTCTGTAGTTACATCGTGCACTAAGACCGACGGAAAATGTAAAGTTGCGATTTTCTAGGCTGATATGGCTAGGAACTATACTCTCATTCCTGCGTAATAATCAAGAAACTTCACTGCCGTACCATGAGAGCAGCAGGCTTAATGATATGACGCAGCGCCTGAAAATAGTTCCGTTGTGTTGATGGAAGGTGGCCTATTTTCAGGCGCTGCGTCATATCATTACGCCTGCTGCTCTCATGGTACGGCAGTGAAGTTTCTTGATTATTACGCAGGAATGAGAGTATAGTTCCTAGCCATATCAGCCTAGAAAATCGCAACTTTACATTTTCCGTCGGTCTTAGTGCACGATGTAACTACAGAAGAGTCAAGTTTTAAATAGGAAAAATATCGAAACTCTTTGATCATTTTTTTTTTGAGAAATGCTAATGGTCTTGTCCACTTCAATGATGTATGCTAAGCTATGCTAAAAGTGGTACCGCCAGAACCGGAGATCGGCTGAATGGATTCAAAAACGGTAAAACTCAACAGTTTAACTCTGGGGGAGTTGTAAAATGAGCCTATTTCCAAAAAAAGTGGAGTATCCCTTTAAGTTGTGGTTTTACTGGAACATCTTTACATGCATAAACTGGACATAAATGTTTGTAAACTGTTCAGATGATATGAATTAGATTATTTAAATGCTGTAAATCAAATCAAATTCATATTTCTTTTTTAAGCTTGAGGTCATGGCATAGTCAGGCTATAATGTTGAGTCAAACTGGCCTAGTTTTTGTGGTGTGTCACTGTTGGCACTAATCGAACTGCCATATGAGACTTTTTGGCTGATTCAGCATGTTGAATCAGCATCCCGTTTGTAAGAAAATCACTCTGGCTGTTCAGCTTTGCTGACCAGTGCACAAGAATAAAAAAGAAAGTAATGAAAGCAAGCAGTGAAGTCAAGAGAAACATAAAATCCCAGAACCTCTAGTGATCTGGGCAGACCTCTATCAGACCCTTCCTGCTAGTATGTATTCCCCTTCACACGGGTGGGCTAGTTTTCTGATGTTTGTTGTCTTTGCGGTGTCGCTATTTTTTTTTTTTTAAATGACGGTTTTGGTGTGTGTGGGAATTGAACAATTTGGCCAAATCTGATTATCTCAATGACTATGGTGGTTAAGGCACTACTGTTCTACTGATTTGACCTCCTGAAAAAAACATGTGTATTATCATGTGTTTAAACTGGACACAAATGTTTGCAAGATAAAACAGGGCCATTGTTAAGCCTATTCGGCCCAGTTTTTGTGGTGTGTTCTGCGCTATTGGCACTAATTAAACTTAATCCATCTGTGATTTTTTGGCTGATTCAGCATACTTTATTTATGATTTGTATCTTTGCAGTCCTAACTATTCTGCCAATGGCTAGTATGCAATAAATTCCTTTCACACAGGTGCAGACATCAGACATGTGTGCTATTTATCTGCTGATTGATTGTTGTCTTTGCGGTGTGTTCAACTATTTGTCACAGATGCAGTAGACGTGAAAGTAAACTCCACAGTAAGCCTTTGTTGTCGCTATTTCATTCATGTTGGTCTGTGTTGAATTTATTTTATGGATTAAATTTTTTTTTTTTTTTTTTTTTTGAAAGTCATTGCAGAGTCTTGCATCAGCTGCCTTTGTGCATCATTTTATAAAAATAAATCTGTTGTTCTTTAAAAAAAAAAAAAAAAAAGTCAATCTTGGCTGAGGCTCAGAGGACTCCTAAACCCCAAACAGTTGGTTTGTGCCAAACAGATGCACATCTGTAACTAATGTATGGTCAGAGCCGGACAGTAACGGAGTACATTTACTCGAGTACAGTACTTAAGTACAATTTTGAGGGATCTGTACTTTACTC